CAGTGAAGTTTCAGTGTGAGAATTATGCACTGTTAGAGGGCACACGCATTCGTGATCACATACCGATTGTGATAGACCTCGCATCTCTTGGCTTTTGCACAGAACCTCAGAAGCTGTATTTGCATAAACTGTCAAACGTCAAGCTCCATCGCGACACCTACATATAGGCGAGCTCCTTAAGCACACTGACGAAACTCGTTCTGTACCTGACGTGGTAAATGCTGAAAATTATGCGCAACATCTGGTTAAAGCTCTCTAGTCTACAGTATAGCCCCTCCGTTTCCCGCGGTAGCACAAGCCATCACCCGACTATAGTTGTAGTTTTACCTGGAGAACCCAGACGGCGTTCAGGCTTATGGCTGAAGTACGACCCGAATTTTACCTTTTCTTCGTTTTTAAGAAGATCTATTGAAAACGTGTAACGACTGAGATTTGTCTGGTCACTGGCGCAAAACGTCAACTATAAAAAGTAACTAGCTGCTACAACGAACATTTCAAAAACGATGTTATTTCAGCTCTGTGTCGAATGGCACTATTTAGAGATGTTTGAATATTGGCGCATTCTCGGTCCAGTAGAGAAGCTCTATCCATGAGAGAAAAGGCGACCCAACCACGCCGTCACCATAATGAGGAGTAGCGTAGTAAGCTGCTCTTCATTGCGACTGGAGAGTATATACCTACTGAACAACATGAAGTTCGGTGAGAACGCTCTACTGAAACGGCGTCCAGGATTTTGAGGGCCGACGACGACAGACCACTGGCCACACCGCGTAATCCGCTGTAAGCCGTGTTCCTATGAATTCCGTATGAGTATGCTCAACGTATAGGCTGCGGTTTAGAGGAGAATAGAATAACGATCGACGACGAGCGGCCAAGTTTCCGCCTTTCACACAAACAACTGGCCTAGGCCAGGGGAACAACCTGAGCCCGCTCGGATTATCTACCTTGCTGGAGGGCCTCTTTAGTCAAATAAAAGGAAAAAGGAAATCAGTCGAAGTTATCTTGTATGCAAACGATTCGGTCATATACGACTCAGTGTCATCATCACTCGTTTTGTTTATGAACTCCACCGTACATTTTGTAGAAGTGAGTTTGACGACGTAAATACTTTAGAAGTGGCGGAAACTGTGATATAGAGCATGTTACTCGTTACCTTTGTAGCGTTGGCAACATCTTTAGGAATCTAGAAAGTTTCTCAAATGAGCTCCTTAAAGTCCAACGCTCCTATAACCCATATTACCTAAAAGTTTAAATGGCCTTGTGTACTTACTCTGATACTAAAATATTGTGTATATCTGAAACTTTTGAATACTGCTAGAAATACTGAGATTAAATTGTCCTTTAGGTTTCAGCCTTACTAGCTTTCCATTATTGGAACACGTTACCTTTAGTGAAGTTCCATCATAGACAATAAGTTTTTTAATTGAATTCCAAGTTCTGTTATCTTCGTAGTTCATAAGACTACGTGCCGAAGGATGTCGGACCGTACGGTACCCAGCTTATTAATGCCAAACGTGAAATTAATGAGCTTCATGGGAGGCCATCGTTCCATGGCATCAAGTAACTTTCTGGTTTAAAGCAGGAATTAGAGTTTAGTCATATAACTCTTGCCTTCGCCAACCTTCTCATTTCATGAGAGTTAAATTAGCTTATAGCTTTTATATATTAATAATGTTCAATCGGTTACAGATACTGATCACAAGACTCATGGAACTCAGTATTAGTATGGAAATTACTGGAGTCGACTATATCTCTCTTTGCTGTTCCGAAGAACATGAATTTTTCTCTGCAGGACATTTGGTCAAAATTGAGTAAGGTGCGGATTGAAACGGATTCTTTTTCCTTTTTGTCAATCAATGCCATTTGTCAATCTCTGGTAAAAATAAAACCTTGTCTTCAAGAGAGCGAGAACAGCAGACTAACGGTAAGCAACAACAAAAGCACATCTACGTTCCGTTAACGACGGAAGGAATTGCAACGCGCAAGTGCGACAACTAAGGTGCATGAAAACGGCTGGAAGCAGGAAAAACATTTTCGTCGAACGTGACATCTTGAATGATAACAGAGCGACAGGCACACTATGTGTTATATGTAGAGAGTGGTCGACTTAAGGCAAAAAGGCCACCTACAGCACTCTCGAACGCCAATATCCAGGAATCTTCTCATTTCCGCAATAACAGCATCGCAATGAATTAAGTGAGCTTATCATTCCTCAACAAAGGTTTGATACTTAAGTTAGAAATGAAACTGGAGTTTCATTAATTAATTAGTTTCATTAAGTATCGCGTGTTTGATGTTGCTGGCTGCGAGACAAACCGAACAGTACGAATCCTCTTAGCTTCATTGGCATTCAGAATGAGACCAAAAACTCTGAACATTTCTTGTCGCAAGTAGGTCTAAAATGGCCTTCTTGGCACCCACAACAGAACTCTTTGTATTGGCGACCCAGGTGGGCTCGATATGGGAACGAATCGAAGAACCGTTCACGTTAGAGAAACTAAATCATGTTCTATTCGCTGAAGGCGTGAATGCAATTTACAAAGTGGGTGGACATGTGTGGGTCGTGGAAACCGCAATGCGTTGTGATGTAGACTTTTTGCAATGCAAATTAAATAGAATTAGCCTTAACCTGATGTTCTACAGGGAGGTATAACTTAAAGCGAATCTGTGATTAGTGTGCATCCCAAACGATCTAAGATCTACAGGATGATCGAATGATTCAGCAGTTGGGCGCAACACCCGTAATATCTCACCGTCTACCTTTAATTACGTTAGTAAACCCTTGCCAAAGGTGTGCCAGGATTACTCGGTTGTTCTCTGTTGACTGCGACTTCTCGAAGACCGAGGTGATTAGATGAAAATTTTTTTTTTATTAAAAAACCATATATATATATATATATATATGGTTTTTTTTTAAATATGTTTAATTGACCAGAGGTACTGGATAGAACTACCAGGTCCAGTACTATTGGGCCTAGTAGTTCTGTCCAGTTCTTCTTGTGCCTTTCTGGGCTGCTATGTTTTTCTATTTGCTATGCAATCTTTGTTTTCTCCAGTGGTACACTTCCTGATGGTTAATATGTTATAGGTCAACTCATAATAATCATACATTTACGTGCAAAAAACGTAACTTTTGACACAGAACCGTAATGTTTGGTCTTCGTACTGGGTGTTTTGGGTTGAAGAATACATTAAAAAAACAAGTTCCTAGGAGACCTGAAAAATTAGGCCATTCCTCTTACCACAAATCAATAACCATGAATCATCGCTTGTGGCGTTGCAATACAACTGAGTACCTCACTAAAACGATTACCCCTTTTATATTGGTATTAATACACACAGAATAGTGCTTTATTTTGCTAGAATATTTCCGGGACTATTCGCCGGATTAGGTTACTACACTTTTTCGAGATTATGTGTGCTATACTCTTGTTAAAATCTTCGCACAAGTGGCTGTAACTCAGTATCACCTATGAACCTATTGTAAACACCGTCATGCACAGGAAAACGCTCGCTCTTCCCGCGTTCCCAGTAAAAACATTTTTGACAGGAACTGGCTCAATAGCCGATGTTATCGTTACGGGTCCTTGAGATAAATTGATTAACCACTCAAGATAAACACACTTATATAGTTGCTCCCTCCGTCGCTTCTCCTGTCGAGATGTTGCGTCATGAAGTGACTGATAATATTAAGCAGTCGTTTCGCTGTATAAAAGCGCAACGTAAGTATGCAATACCAATCATAAATGTCGAACTCAAACACAGTCGCTTGTGTTTCATCGTAAACAACTACGTAATCAATAGAAGATGTCGAAATCCTCATCCGACTCGGGAACTCTGTCGAACAAAATGGATACCTCATCATCATCGGCTACGAGACTGCTCCTACAACTGGTATTATTCATATCCAAAAATATGTTAGGTTTAATCTCCCCGGACTTTCAACTCTGTCAAATCTCAACCCCCAACTCAGTCCCATATCGAAACCGTATGTGGAACAGAAAACAGAAATAAGCAGTATTGTTCGAAGTCTGGTACCTTTCAAGGATTCGGAACATCAAGATCTCAAGGCAATAGAAGCGACTTGGAAAGCGCAATTAATTCGTCACTTATGACATGACGTGAAGTGGCTGAACTACACCCCTCTACGTTCGTACGTTACCATAAAAGATTATATGGATTACGAAATTTACTGGTTCCGATTGAGCCTCGGAACGTGTTTACATCCTTTATGGTCCGACACGCACGGACAAACCCTGTGCTGCTGCTCAGATTGCTTCTCCTGGAAGGGTCTATTACAAAAATCAGTCTCAATGGTGGCATAACTATCAACAGGAGGAAACCGTCATATTGGACGACTTTTATGGCTGGCTCCTCTGGGATGAGTGACTCAAAATCTGTGACCGATATCCCTACAGAGTCGAAAAAAAAGGCTCCCACGAAGAATTTACAATTACACTATTACCTCAAAAGTTCACCCGACTTCGTGGTACAAATTACTTGGATTTGACCCCGCTTCTCTATTTAGTGATAGCTCACTCGCTCTAATAATAGAACGATGGTAAATACTGAAAATGACTTATCAATAAATTTGCTTAGTGCCGTAAGTTGGGCAGCCAGTCTGGCGTTTGTTTTGAGCCTCTTTGATTAATAAAGGAACCGACCGGTATCCTTCTGATTGACCGAAGCATAATTCACGCACCCGCTTGCTTACACCTGTCTGCTACAGCCGTAGCATCAGCGGTGTTAAAAATTTATAAGCTCCATAACTTGTTTTCTGACGTTGTTTCAAAGAAACAATCTTTGCCTTGCCAGTAATGAGATCTCTTTACCATATTACCGATAGCCTTGTGCACTCTTCAATAACTACTGCTAGCTGGCACTGTTTTCTATGCAGGTCGTTAGTGAACGAAAGCTCACAGCGAAAAGTAAACACTCCTCGTAGGGAATGTCACGTTCCACTCACGTTACGATGTCGTCTGCTCCCGGTTCCTAACTGCTATTTTATCCTTTGTTCACTTACTTCATAGAGGAGCACCGCACATGCGACACGCATTAGGTATTGAGCACCGGTTTTTCAAAGAAGCTTCTCTAAAGAGCGCTGCGAGCCGCTTCAAAGCAAAGTAACGGAACGAGTCAGGTACAGAACGTCTGTGGTTGTTGAAAAGCCGACAGATTAAATATAAGGTCGAAGAATACTTCGAAGTATGCGTGACGCGAAACCCAATGACCTGTTCATTGCTTTTCAAGAACCGAAAAGAGGGTATAGTAGAAAGAACCTATTATCACTGCTTTGGTATTCCCTCTGTACTAAATGCTATTTCCACTTTACTTAGAACGAATAGCATTATCGAATAATAGAACAAAGACGTTCTTCGTCGTGTGCATCAATGGGAACGTTATCACGATTTTACTCACACACATAATGGTTTCTAATAAAGAAATTTGCTTTTGAACTTGAGTGGCGAAGAAAGGTGTACTCGTTCGAGTTCACCTCCCTTTGCCATTCAAGTTGTCTAACAGGACTCGGCTGTAAATGTAGGCCCCCTATCTTCGTGTATAGTTCAGTTTAACGGCATCTGTACTCATTTTGAAATTCCTATTAAGACCTGATTCTTACCAAGGGTACTATAAGAATATAGGAAGAAGATAATCTCCAGTAAATACGCTCTGACTAATTATTGTTTACTTTTTTTATTCAATATACATCTGTCGTGTAAAATTTGCTATCAGAATGTATTTCTAATAAAGATAGCATAAAATAATTCACACATCTAATAAGCCTTTTGATTAGACAATTTTTTTCTGTATTTATCACTATGTTAGAATGCTTCACTTACCGATAATAATTTTAAAAAACTTCATCTAATAGAAATTTAAGATACTCACATTGGAAAGAGATTTACAGGTTAAATAGAAAATCCATTATGTGTAAATCGTAGAAATGTATCTGCCTTTTCTGCTATTCGTTTCGATGAACAAATGAGTAATTATTATCGAAAACATGGATAAACAATAAGGACCGCAATGTCGCTATTATTCGCATAGGAAACGTTACACTACCGACGATATTGCTATTTTTTTAGGCCCCAGGTTTTTGGTATTGGGCAAAAGGCCTCTTGACAATTTGGGTCTTTTCAGCCTTGTTTCCATTGCATCCCTGCTATTTTCACTGAAACAGTCTAGTGACCTTGGCCCATCCTGTGCATCCAGTGATTTTTTCTAGCAGTTGTGGCGTAATTTACTGCCTCTTGACCTGCTTCCTACATCCTTATTATGGCTGCAAGAATAAATCGTTTTCGGTGAGACATAGTATTACTATAATCGGCCACTGGACCAAACCATGCACTTTCTGACACAAATCGACAGAAGAAAAGTGCTAAATATGTCGTATAGTACTAAGCTTCTACATAAGTGGCTTTTTATTTTTTATAATTTATAATACGCTGTGTTTTTCAAACATTATATGTATTGTATTCAAAGCTGATTTACAAATCAACTAGTAAAAGAAATACGAAAAAAAATCTTACGAACCTTGTCCATTTTTGCTAGTGCGTTGTCCGCTCCACGCTGGGAACTCCTACTCCACAATATCTTGCTGTCTGGCTAGCTGTCTCTAGAAGCTTCTCCTACAGCCGTTAGGTTATCCGGAGGTAGCGACCTATGTTCAGCTCCTATTATTCATCTACACAAGCCCACAATCGTTTAAGGATATGTTCCTTCACATTTTAGGTAACGAAGAAGTCGATAGACAATACATCTTCTTCATGACACGAGGACTCAACCTGAAGCAGAAAAATTGGGGGTTTAATAAGGGACACAAGTGTTTACTTCACTAGTGTCTTAAGTTTCGTAAGTTGTGTGAAGAAAAAATGCTCCTAATCATCAACATAATCGTGTTTTTGTTTTATGTAAAAAGTTATTAGTTCTAACACGTTTCCTCTTTCGCGGAACGCTAATCTTCCAGGTGTAGGCCTCGGGCGAATAAATATCGACAGTGTATCCGAATCGTAGAGTCCGCTATAATCTCAACGTACTGACGGGTAGCTAAAATTTTGGCTAGTAAAAGTAACTTCATAGAAACCCACTACACACGAGTGCATTAAACACAAGAGTAGCTGGACTTGTTCAAGTTAGACACTCTGAACTTCGTAAGAAGGCGAAAAAAAAACCCTTTTCTGAGTTGAGTCAGTTCGGCAAATGCAGACACTATGCCCTACGGAGCTTCAGCCTGGAATATTCAGGTAAGCCTTTTATATAAAACTGGAAAAGGAATAGTCGGACAAAGGAAAAAGGCCAAAAAGCGGTTCCTCTATTCTCTTCGTCAAGCCTTTTACGGACAGCAGGACAACTAACGGCCGACCATCCTTTGCTCTTTTAAAGCATGCACAAGAGAATATCTTCAAACAATCATTCGTCTTCTACAACAAGCTCTTCAGATGATAGCTTTCGGACTCTTCGTATCTTGAATTAGGGTTTCAGTTTGTCTATATTGTTCACAACGGCTATCGTAGAATATCTTTTGTCAAAGGTACGACAAATTAGATTTTGTGTATAAATATTATCCGAAATTAGTTACCTATTCCAATTAAAATTATCCTCAGACATAGCGTTATTTTGCCTAGATCGATTTCACTGATCTCAGACAGAATCTCAAAAAAAGAAAATATCTATTCTGCAGGTCTACCGCAAGATGATTGAACAAAATCATAGACCCACTTTGCCTCTATGTTCGTATTCGATTTTTGCATAAAGCAAACGAATTTTCGATAGTGATTTCCTACGAAGTGTACAAGCAACAATACATAGAAAATATACATGCATATATATATAAAATTATTTTTTGTTAGCTTTGTACGTTCTTGTGTCTAGGGGAGCCTATTCTTATCGTCCTATAAAACGAGGCTTCCCTACAGGTCGTGCTTCGACAAACACTCGCCCTCGTTTTGAAATACGACAGCGCATAGAAGGTCCTTGCACTACACTAGACCTTTTTTCAATTGATTCTTTAAATTTAAATTAAAAAAACAATTAATGGCGTTGGCAAAAGAGCTCCTTTCCATATCCCCCCTGGGGCGCGTACCGAGATGTGATTAAACAGAATCACGTCTGAATACGCGCAGTGTACTTTGAGATCCTAAAAAAAAACTTACAGCTACCTTTCTTCTTCTTCTACCAGGTTCTTTTACCAGGTTATGTGTGGATTTTAGGTAGCTGACGGGTGAACCCCAATGAGCGCGGCAACCATCAAAGAAGTACGGTACCTGTACGATAAATACTTCGAGAAGAACACAGTCAAAACAAGTGTCTAGGCACAAAAGAACAATTAACGTATTGTGTGACCATCAATGGCGTTTTGGTGAAAGAAGTCAGCAATGATGAAACCGGTGCTTGAATCGCTCAGCTGTTGGCTAAATTCTTTCAAATCCTTTAATAATCCTTCAAATAATTAGCAATACCTTTTTTTATAGTGTAATTCAATATAGGTTATTTAGTAATAAATATAGAGCTCATACCGCACCTCTGTCTGTGTTTGTTTACTATAAGGCAAACCTAAACATTGGCTGCATTTGGCGATAGTCTGCGTCACTTAGTCGTACATGATACGACAGATGCCGTGAAAAAAAAACCTAAATATGCTTACATTTTGCGACGACTAAACTGTACATCCATCTGGGCCACATCTTCGGTACGGGACACGGGTACATCGTATCAGGTTTAAGCAAATTTTAGCAGGGCCTGACGTTATCAAACAGAACACGTTTAATACGTCCGGTTAAATTTGCGATCTGACATTTGATTTAGCGCGCCACTCTGTGTCGCTCTCATCGACCAAACGATAACCAAGTTGTGTTATAAGTGAGCCGCAGGTATTTTGAATTTCTAGAATATTTCGAAATGACAGCATCTGTTTCCATTTAGAAGCGACGTTCTTTGAATATCTTCGAGTTGAAAGTGGCCCATTGTGCGAATCATCATCTGTCGTGTGAGAGAGCAGGTACTTTTCTGTTGACCGTCCGTATTTTAAACCTGGCAAAAAGGTGTGTAAGGACACATGCACAACACGTTAGGTCGTTGTATGTTGTCTCAGACTTCGTTAACAAATTCGTTTTATTTCGACTAAATTAACGAATTTAAACAGAAATGCTTGTTCAACGTACCAAGCCGCTCGAAAAGTCGTCGAGTTTCGTTAAAAGGATCTGAGGCGAACTCTTCAAACTTCACTTGAATTACGTCGACTCCGTTAAAGAACTTTTTAAAATTCTCAAACACTTGAACGTCTTCGGAGATTTCCGAACATAAGGTGTTACACCGAAACTGGCACCAGCCTAAGGCACTCCTGAAATCATTGATAAACGTCTTTGTCAATTTCGATGCGAAGTAACGAGGATACAATTGTAAACGCAGCGTATCGTTCCCCACTGCTTTTGAGCGAACGCGTCGAAAAAAAATAGACACGAGATCAAATACAAATCAATGCAATTTATCATTACGAGCACAACATTACTTCTAAATTAATATAGTTTCTAATATCACACTTGTACCTAGTCGAGCGGACAAAAACAGTGAGGTTGTCACAAGTATTTATTCCGCACAAAATCAGTATAATTGATCATTTCGAGACATAGGCAAGTTGTACGGTCTACTAAAGATGCAGTCTTTGTCCGCGTAAAGCTCCCGCGTAAATTAACGCTGCTCACTCGCTCGTCGTCGGTAATAACATGTAGGATTGAGCAAATCAGAATAGGGTGACTCAACGTTGACGCGGCGCGCTTTGATGCAGGCGTGTTTAGAGTGCATGAAAATAGTATCAATGGCCTCCATGTCTTTGTTTATGTTCGGCTCATAAGACGATGACAATCAGAGAAAAAGCAGACAATAACAATTTAAAGTTTTGTAATTACTTAGTTGAAACTCTAATAGAGTCGAGACGAGTAGCTTTATTAATCTGTTCATAGATATGAACGTTTAATGGTCATGAAAACGGAAGTTCAGGCTAGCACGTAGTTAGTTTTCGTTACAACGACATGGCGATGTTACGTGCTTGGACACCTAATGCTTTAGAAGGCCCAGCTTTTTTTTCGTTAGGTCACTTCGAAAGGAAATATCACGTAAGTAAATTTCGTCCTTGAACATATTTATTAGAAAAAGCGCGACAGCAAACACGAGTACAAAATTGTTAACCATCGGACGGGTCGGGACGGGTGAAAGTTGATCGAGTCGAGTTCTTTTAGACATAGAAAGTTCCTTCGAAAAACACCTACTGCTTATTGTCAAGATGAAAAACCCGTTTCTCCGAAAGCTTGTCCTGCTCCCCTCAATAAAATATAAGGCTTGTAAAGGCCATCCGGTATATGAAGCTCATCGTAGAATTAAAGGAACCTTTCAGCGAAAAAGCCGCCCAAACCATGTGTTTTCTTAGTGGCTATCATACCTAGGTAGACGTGATTGCGCCTTATAGTAATACAATGGCTAATGAGGCAGCGTCTCGATAAGAGGGACGGCTCATCGATAGTCAGGGTCCATTACTAATATATATATATATATATATATATATATATATATATATATATATATATATATACGGAACACGGAGCAGGGTTTTTTTACTAAATTAATATATAACAGGGACAAAACCCTTGTGGAAACCCAACGCCTTTAATATGAACGTATCACGCTAAGAAAAGGCCACCGGCAGTGCAAGTCCTAGCAGCCTTCAAATTTCCATATTGAAAAAATTACACTAACTTCTTGTCCCTATGTCGCTCGTCCTTTGATAATACTTCAATGTTAATTTTAAACGAATCAAATTTAATTAATAAAAATTATAAAAATTTAATGTTCTAAAGGAACATAAAATAATCATTATTTGGCCGTTAATGTGGGCCGTGTGGACTTCTGCTACAGATCTTAAAATCTACATAAATGGCTACGACGGCATAAGAATAAGGAGGAGCTGTCCAAACCTACAATCTCGTTTGCTCGTAATCGAATGAATGGGATATTCTAATATCTGCTTTAACAAACTGGTATTTGTAATCAACATTTGAATATGGCTAATTAGCACGAGCCAATATATATATTCTGAAAGTGATTGAAAGCAGTATTAAAAAAACTCGCTGTGTTTAAGTAACAGCTCCGATTATCCATTCAAGTTATATGGACAGAGCTTAAATGACAGCAGGGGATCAATGAAAGCTTTGTCTTTTCAGTTTTACTTGCACCTGCGTTCATCACTAACGATCATAAAGACGAGTAAAAAAAAAGCCCCGCACATCGACAAACACCACGCAAATCAATTGTTAAATTTTTCTTCTATATATATATATAAAGTAGCTTTATTTACGTAGTACTTTCGTCATAAAATGCCTTCCACAAACAACACAGTCTCGTTGAGAACGACGTTAACAAGATCGTGTAGCCTACTCGTTCTATGTACCATAACGTGTGGAACACGTTCGAAACGGACCTCGGTGCAAATTTACTACTTCCAGCCTTCCCTTAATATTGTCACCGCGAAACTGTTGTTATTCATCTAGCTTGTCATGACACATAGTAATTTACTAAGCTAAACCTCCGCTTAAGCACGCGCCCATCTTCCTGTGTCGCTAGATGTTAATCCAGACCGCTCACGTCGGTTGATTGAGGTCAGCATAGGGAAACGGTGTATAAAATATATGGGTGAATGGCTCTCCTAAAGGAAGTTGTCAACTCGAAATAGGATCGAGAGCGCCCAGTATGAGAGGATTGCTTCGTCTCTAATAAACAGCCTTGAAGCATCGTCATCCGAAACAATATGCGACGTCTTGAGAAAGCCCAACGGCTTTCATTGTTCACAGTCTGATCTAATTCGAAACAGTTAGTTCTTACCGTGGCAATCCAGATTAGTAATTCAACATTTGAACGTTTTACGAGCCGGCAATGTTCGAACAACGTCAGCGTCAGTTGAGTACAGACGCGTACGCTAGCTAGAATTAAGACCAATATCTGCGTCTGGACGGCGAGGTAACCTTACGCATATGTATAGATATAGAATACTTATATTGCTTGATAATTAGAGCAAGATCAATCTTGAACTAGATCCGTTTGCTCTATTCGAAATATACGTCACGTTTGCTGTGAAGTATCGATGTCTTAATCGAAACAAGCTAGCACGAACCTATCCCCATTTTTTCCAAATAGAGTACCAGTAAGGGAAACCACTTGCTTTCTTTCTCGATTTAACTCCTGGTCTATTTCCAAAGTCTCCTGCAGACCGTGTGCTTAGCTTTTAGTTAACGCTAAACACAGGCGACATTAAAGAGTAATGCGCCTCAATTTCTAACGAAAAGCTGACTATAAATATATTATATTAGATATATCTGGACAAATTCCAGGTTAGACAGAACTGACTAATCTGATGACATTATACCTGTTCCAAACTCATTCTCTGTCCGGTGATGCTGGTCGGCGCCGTCAAGCCAAATGCGATACATTGATGGTCCTTCTACTTACATCACAGAATTGTTTGTACCTTATATAATGAAGTCCCAGTCGTCTAATTTCTTAACCAATTCGCGGCTAATTCTATTTTTTTTATGTTTAGTGTACACCATAAATGGATTAGGCACTAACCTTGAGGCTATGATGCCGCGTGGGTCCCGAACTAAATGTACTATTGTGGTCGTATTTGTAAAGTCCGGATCTCTGGCTATCAGTTCTATTGTCTGGAGCAGCGGTAAACGTACCAGTTTCATCACCTACGATATGTCAGGGGAAAAGATTAGAACGAACATGATTCTTATCGTTGCCAGTTGACGGGTCGTGTTTTACGGACCCCAAATCTCGTTACGATAAAGGGCCCATTTTTAGTGCAACAGTCACATAAAAACTATTCTCTATTTTTCTATCGTATATGTTAGACCCCATGAAATCCTCGTAAGGGACCGGTATTTAGAAATAGTGAAACGATCGCAAATTAACAGGCTTTTTTCTAATCTTTCGTTGCTATTTAACTCGTTCGAGGTCGAAACGAATCGTTCCAAAGGAACAAATTTGTCACAGCTTCACCAAAATCTGAGCCATACCTCTGAGCGGTACTACGAATAAATGAGTCAAAAGTGCGTAAAATGGTTCTCGCGACCATTTTACAGTGTTTTGATTCTATTAAATTAACGCTCCAAGATATAGGTACTTTTCGAAATTATCAAGGACCCAATGCATTTATCCGTAAACGAACAATCGAAACGAAAAGATAAGTCAGCAGAGCCTCGAATTAGGACCTAAACCAATTAAAAAAAGAAGTGATATTCGTAACTGAAAATTGAAATTTAGTGGCTCGAGCCCGAACCGCGTTGTGCTAAGTCCTTATAGTTGATAAAACATTCATTGCGAATAGAGGAAAAAGGCTTGACGCAAATCTTTTCGTCGACCCTCGAATCGTTACCTTCTGCTAGCATTATACGTTAGCATTATATCACGGCGCAGGGATTTGACGCGATTACTACAGCCACACTCGCCGTTAAGGCTTAGTTTAGGTCCCGAGATACGATTTTATGTTATAGAAATACATGTTGAAGGACTCCGCATCGGTCCGCTTCTTTTACATGACTATACTCAATAGACACATATAAATACATCTAGTTTTTTTGAGCCATAGCACTTAAGTGAGCGCTCTCCTTATTTTTACTGCGAGAAAAAGATTCGAATCGAAAGAGGTCAAACCATTTTTAGATTTCAACATAATTTACTGATCGTATGCAATAATAATAATAAAGTTGTTAATTTGTTTTTTTGTTAATTTGGTTACGCACATAGTACAGCGCTTGGGGATAGCACGACGTATTAAGACTTTGGTTTAGGTAGCGGCAACGCATGACTACACCAATATGAATCTTTGTACCTTACTAGCTAGCCAATCCTTTTTCTAGACACTTCTTGATGGGTTATAAAAATCCTGATCCATTTCTAAATGACAACTTGTCAATTTTCATGACTAAGGTACTATAAAGAGAGTACATGAGCTTATGGAAGTTGACACATGTCTATAGGCTTGGCATAAGAAAGCCGTCGCAATTATTGAGTTATATATTTGGGCGTACACACGATGATAATTACAGAAATCGAAGAAAAAGCCACACAAGTAGATCTTCGTATAGACAAGGCGCGAAACTGAAAGTGAAATTAGATGTAAAACGAACAAATTAAATAATATAATGTCTGACGCGATTCGCATACGGAGTTACGTCGGAAGCTTTAGATAATATTACCACACGTAAATGCAGAAAAGATCAGCGCAAAACGGAATATGGAAGTGTTGAATAGTCATTTATTCAAAGTACTACCGAATGATCCTCACGGTTTTTACGCTATGCAGCCTAGCATCGACGTGACACAAAATGATCGAACCTTATCGGTGGAGTCCTTCCAGGTGGCTAAACCTCGCTGATCCGATATAACTGGGCCAGATAGGGGTAGAATACGATGCGTGTCGTGCCGACGATAACGGATTCCTTGTATAAACACAGCAACGACAAATTGCGTCAGCTGACCGGCGAGGACTAGGAACTAGCACGCTAGACTAGGAAATGGCGAACTTCACCGACATAGCTACGCGGAGTCACGGGTTGTAGCGTGAGTAGGCATTTCAAGCAAAAGATTAATTCGACCACTTTTTGATATTACAGCAACCGGTGCCATTCGAATCTATTCGAACTACTGCCAGAATCCGTTTTGTTATACATTAACTTTAGAGTAAGGGTCGAATTTTGTTTTCAGTAGATTGGAGCAGTAGGTTGTCATCCTGATAACAAAACAGACCTTAGCAAAGATCTTCGGGAAGATGGGAGGGCCGAACAGGCCCCGTTCATCAGAAGTGACGCCGATAGACGTTTTTGTCGAGATACCTTAAATATGCCAGAAAACCAGCGATACTAAAACATTTAAAAACGCGCCGCAACATCCGAGTGAGTTTTTGAGTCGATAGCTTACTATTACTAACAACGTATTAACCTGAACGGACCTCTGCGGTGAGAAGAAACGTTCTGCACTCTATATGATCATTTGTAGTCTGCAAGGTTTCATAACGTTTATATCCGACATTTTACGTGCAGTAGTAACGTGGTTAGCTGTCACAGCTAGGGCCATATGAGGTAACCTACGTCCGAATCTGGGTATAGACACACTTCATTTATAGCTTGGGGCTCAGCAGAAACACCGAATGTAAAATTTAAGTTATTTCTCATTGTTGACATTTTGAGACCTGTTTCGATAAGAATTATTCCTCGCTGAACAACACCCCCCAGCCAGTTGCACGATTAATGCACAACTACCAGATCTTATGATGGACTAACAAATAACTAAAGTTTTTCTCTGGACCAGTCATAAATTTGCCATAAGTAAAGGATATTTAATTTGCAGGTAGCTTATTTCTTATTATAGTCTTCCTGTAGGGGCTGACAAACGCGCCAGATAAACGTTGTGCCTGAACATACTTCATATACAGTACTGTCACATAAAGATATTGCCAATTATCTATCAGTTATAATTAAACAAGTTACGATTAATCATTTTCATTGTACATTATAGGAATGATCAATGAGTTCACAAACGAACTGCCCATCCACTAACAACAACGTCAACTTACTTCGACGTCAGCAGTACTTAGGTCCATAGACAGCGTTACATTATGCCGTTAGCTTATTATATCTGGGGAAATGGTTAAAATTTCTAGAAATCGTTGCCGTTACGATTAGCGGGCGACAATAACCTTAGCCCAAATTTTGAATCGTACAATTTTTATCCAGTTTAACTATCGTGAATATAAGTATCTGTGTTTCAAGCCTTGGCTAAACGCAACAAGGAAAACAAAAAGAAAAAAAAAGAAAGCACGAATACTCTGCATATCTTAACGGCTTCACTCAATCGAAGGCTTCTTGGAAACATTCTGTTATGCCTCGTTGCCAGCTAACTATAAACGTGAATTCGATATCGCGAGTTCCTATGAACAAAGGAAAATAAACATCTTCCTATGTTAATAAAAATATCTAAAAAGAAAAAATAAGTAAAAACCTTCCGTGACGAACGATGACATGGAAAATGCGCATGTTAAATATTCCGGTCGTGAAATGGTGCAACAAAAGATGAGGCTGATAAATAATGTAAAGTATGTTGAAAAAATCTGAACGACTGCCTGCGCAGAACGCACACCCGTTGCACAACTAGTACCTGAAGGGGGCGGCTTCGGCATAGCTTTTCCAAAAACTCTGTGTTTCGGCATTTTCTAATGTTCCTGCGACATGCAAGTTTCAGGACCGGATTTCGATTCATAAGAAAACCCTTTTTGTATGTCAGAAGCCAGCTGACGTAGTCGGGTATTTCCGTGAACTCGCAGCGTAGTATATGTTGCAACAAATATGCTGTTATCTGATGTCCTGTTCTGGAAATATTCACTACCAAACACAGAGAGAGAAAATTAATAGGCTGCTGTTCGAATATATTTTTTGTTATCTCTTGTATCCAAAAATTCATAAATGTTTTTGCACAGTCAGCGTGGCAAAACCGGCATGTAGAACGGCGCGAAATTTAATTAACAGAAAAAGGTACAGAGGTCGCCTAGATAAATCGTGTCGAAATTATATGATTTTTCTATAATGTTGATATTACATAATATCACGTATATTTTTTGGCATTACAACAATGAAGTGCATTATCCTGACAAACACATCAAGTAGTCATGGAGTAAGATATGTATGCGCTCTAGATGCTCTATAGTGTACGGCTGCGAATAGTGCTAATCTTCTGAAATTTTCAATATGAACAAAAATGTTCCCTGAACTGACGTCATGTCTTATAAGACATACGTAAATGATAAAACCACATCAACTCTGGAGAAACTATATCGGAGAGTGGGTTCGATCCTGTCGTTTCCCTCTGTCGCTGTATTTTCCCTAGGAAGATTTTCGCAAAATTTTCTGTCAAAGTCTGAACTATGAAACTTGGGAGGCAAAAAAACTTTTTGAGTCCTCTTAAGTTAAACAATTTTTTCGAAGTTCGACACAGTAACGAGCAAAACTTTCTCGCTCTGTATTTAGAAACGCCGAAAATTTCGTTATGAAATGTATGCTTCGGTTTTTTGCTTTTCAAGAAGATTTCATTTGTATAGAAAGAAGACAAGAAAGTATCGTCAAAAACCATAATGTAACTAATGTTGACATTATCTTCCGAATTCTGCGCAGAATGGCATCGTTAAATGAAGGACTTCGCCACCCCTCAAGTAGAATATAACTCAGTGGACGACTAAAGCGAACTAACACAGTAAATGTTGTTTCATGCGCAAAACGGTGTTATTTACAAACAACCAATTGTCCCGCTGAGAATTTCCACAGATACAATTGCTTACTTAACAATTTATGCTTATAACAAGCCATGCCTCGTAAGCCAGTTACACTACGTCCTATTTATGCGAATTGTTTATATGAAAACGTGAGCTTTTTTTACAGGTTAAAAATTTACCTCATATAAACATGTTAGTCATGGCACAACAGCTTTGCGTTTGTTAACTAAATCTAGTATAAAACCGTGTGAACCGTAAACGTAAAAATGAGAAATATTGAAGGGCGCTTACCTTCGATAGAACCCTTAATATTTCTCCTCGCTTTTTTTCGAAATCAAGGTGATCCTTATTTGCGCGGCGTGGAAAAAAATCTATATATATATATATATATATATATATATATATATATATATATATAAAGCGTTTTTTCTCCTGTTTGAATATTTAGAACAATTGAGGAATGTTTAGACACCCATCGGTTGATTTTATAGTCGATTTAGATAGTTTTTTTAATTGCCGACTAGAAGAAAAAATAATGCTCAAGTGACATGTGTTGCATCATTATTACTTTAGATTATTTTTAATCCTCATTGTAGAAGGAAGTTCTCAGAATCACCTCTTCGGTATAAGACCAAGGGGCTGTCCGTTTGCAAGGGGCAATCCGAGTGAGTTCTGCCGGATTTATTCGTCGTTTTTGTAATAAACTCATGTCAAACGAAGCGATATAGCGACCATACATGCGGCCACTTACCTTTCCGAATTCTGTGTGTTCCACTTATATGCAGTGGCTCGAAGTGGTAAAAGGAACTGGGAGGTGTTTGTAGAATTTCTCCGAGAAACGAGCTCCCTGACCGGAAATAGGCGACAATTACAATTCGACGGATCTTTGTCGGAAAATGGCTCTCATGGCTTGCTTGATCGATTGGTAATTGACCAACAACCTGTTTCACGGCAAGAGGGATACGTAATTGGCACACCCTAAAGCACAGTGCATTATATAGCTAGCAAGTATTTGACACAAACGAATAATTCGCCTGGCTTAACTAAAGTATTGCCTAATTATGATATATTATGTAGATTTGCATCTAATTAACCGTATCCTAATACATTGTTTTTCATACACAATTCATTCAGGACATTAGCAGGACTGGTCGTTCTTGATAAAGCCCTTGCTTTTAGTCAATATAGTGCAAACAACTTGAATGGCTTCACTAAATGAGGCGCCTCTCCTCGCCCACCTCGTCTTGTGTAGTCCCCTATTTTGAAGTTCACTCCGCTCAATAAATCACCGAATTAATTGTTTCTAAATTACTAATTACCATAGTTCGATTATAGTATTCCCGATGAGGTTCTACAAGTAGTAGAATTTTCTAGAAATTATCAATTGCCGTTGAATAAACGGCATAAGGGCAGATTTATATAAAACGAACCAGCTATTTTACCAGCGTTTGCTGAAGTTCCAAGAAAAACTATAAACTCACTGAGGTCGGCTACCTTTAGCAGTGATTCGAAGAGGTTGTCTATATTCCTTTGACGAATTACTTTATCATGCAGCGCACCATATACAGACGTTCTCTTTGCAGCGGAAGAATGTCCAGACTTAAAAAACAAGGCGAGTTAGATTAGCCGTCACTAAGATAGCCATCTTTGTTATTATTATGTAAATTATTAGATAAAAATAGAACTTTGATATTGGTTATATTTTGTCGTATCGTAAGAGGAAGAAAAAATACATGAAGTCAGTGTAGGCAACCGGTTTTCAAATTCACACATTTATTGAACCTACTAATGTTAAAACCGTAAAATATCAATGTGTTCTTCTTAAAAAGTCCCGGAGCTAAGTTGCTCTTCCAGCTTACATGCTGTATTTTTTCGTCGGTAAGCCTCGCAACTTGAATTACATAGCGATTCAATCAATAGCTACATTTGGCTATAGAGGAACAATAGGTAAAGACATCATAAAGGCATGCTTGTTCGTTCTTCAAAAACAGGGGATTTAACTTTTTGCGGAGTGCTTTCGCATTTATGAATAGTGTTTACTTTTCATCTCAGCGCTACGATTTGCACGAGTCAGAACTAGGGATCGTTAAAATAGTATCGTATATTCATGTACATTGAACTAATTTTTAAGATGAAAATATATCGAAATCGTTGTGTCCAGTACTCTACACAGAGCATTAGATGACAACTTCTACATGCCATATGTTCTTGGCTTGTTATTAACTTAAGTCCAAATAAGTTTATATGTACGCTATTTATGCTATGATGCGGTTGGCATTTTAAATTGACGTGGGCTGGTGAGCTAAGCTATTGCAGCATTCAGTAAATTTTTATGGCGTTTAGAGCGTTTAAAAAATGAACATTTGAGATTTAAGTTGCTTCAAGTACTGCTTCAAACGGCCACCTCTCAGCATGAAACGAAGTGTCTAATGCCCAGTTTTGAATCTAGCTTACCACATGTTCCCAACTTTCCTAGGCAAACACGCTATTACTGCATTACCGTACACCTAACCAAAACTTGTTAGAAGTTCCGGAAATGCCTGATGCACATGGGTGGCCGGCGTCTGATGTAACATTTGCAAACTCTACCCCCTCCCCCCTCAGCCTCACCCTCGTCCTCACCCCGAGATTTGGGACTGCGCTAGAATTTTAATGCTTCCGAAAACCCGTTAACAATCAGACGTACCTTATGTACCTCTCGTATCCCCGGCATGAACCTGTTGTCACTTTCTGGCCCATCTGTGATTGAAGCAGAATTAGAGGATGTGTCCAGTTTAGATTGTTGTTGTCATTAGTCTCTCCGTTCAAGGCAGTATCGATGAATACTTGTGAGCATCTATTATCCTCCTCACCGTACCAACCAATAGTGCCATCTAGCGGCGTATAACTAGAACTAGTGTGAAGAGAAATAAACAAACAATGACACAATACCCATAAATACTGGACATATTTATTGGAAGGTGTTTTAATACGCTTTGCCTAGTAGAAAAGACGAAATCTCACATTAGCATTCTTGACAACGTAGAAGCAAATACGTCCATTCGCATTGTCGTTTGGCTTTTCAACGTTTGCAAAGGTTTGCCGTGCAATCAACATAATCTACCAGTTGTCTAATGCCAGTATTCCAATAAAGTTCTACCTTCAGAATTAATATAAATAATTTTGGTAGCCGTCGTATAGGTTAAATGTATTATTTATATCTTTGCGCTGGCACAAGGGTCATATCGATCTTCCGAAGCAGTTTTCTGCGAAATTCGTAATGACTGTATCAGTGGCCTTGACTGTTGAACTTGATGGAAAACGGGTTCATGCTCATCAGTCTGCTTGCTGCCTTATGATCTCAAAAATAGCAGTCTACAGTTATGTCCTAAGTACTTTTATGTGTTAACGTGAAGGCCTTAGAATACTCGACCGACCTTAGGCACAAAGGAATTTAACTGGCAATGCTATATGTATCGGTAAGCTATTGCCCCTGGGTGTTGAAAGAACCTCGGGGGGAAGTTTCAAGCAAGCTTCGAGGAGCCCAGCCTTCTAGTAGGCAGCTTGTCAGAACCAATTAATTGACGTAGCTATCGATACGTCCTAAGCCTGACCGTGTTGGCTATGAGCGTGCAGGTTTACTTGTTCTTCTCGAAGGTTGCAAAAACCAGCACATTTAACTGCTTTCCATCAATCTGCGCCACAAACAGTGTTGAATATTATATAACCGAAACTATGCGTTTATCCTTTTGATTAATTACTTTAATGGGAAAAGCAAAAAGGAAAGAACGGTCCTCATTGAGCTTAACACTCTGTCGCAGCTGATGTGTAAAGCCAAATTTCCGATTTTCATATACAGATTAGTATAGTATATATATTAGTATAGTATATATATATATACACACACATATATATATATACACGTATATATAGACTAGAAATTATGACGAACTCTTCACATGCTTATGTGAATCTGCTGCAATCTATAGACGCTGATTGTATAACTGTGAATTTGTATTATTACTGCCGCTCGTTTCACTCGTATTTTTTTTTTCGTCATACGTTCGTTTGTTATCAGTTGTTTTCGCTTCCTAATAGCGCAAATGATCGATGATTCGAATTTGTATTTTGGTTAGCACGTCTTCAATACGCACTACACTTCAGCATCAGCCATCAGAAGTACTCATTAGCAAATCATGCCGTCGCTGAGATAGCCGCAAATAAAAGGTTGCAAGGTAGGCCAGAGCGCGAAAATAGGTCGCGTTTCATAAAGTGCCGCTAAATCTTAGCGCTAGACGCTGCCTAATGTGTGTCTATCGAGGGCAAAGTCGCTCCTCATTGTTGCCATCCAGGCTAAGCTACCAACAACATCGTACGTGGGACCGACTAACTTTTTTCATTGGTTTTTAACACTAGACTGATGATAACATCCCCATATAAGCTGACGAAAAACACTGTGAAACAAAGGGCTAATATCGCGTTCCAACTACGGCGCGGTGACATCACCAGTGAGTACATCTGAAATAAAATAATCATATTTTATCAAGTAATTATCTCTCTTTTATCGAGTAATTATCTCTCAACATGACCTACGATCTACGAAATCTATTCCGTAACACGCAAACATCCGAAGGCCCGAAATACACTTCTCAGAAAATGAGGAAACAGCCGTTGGCTACGAGAGGAACGTCTATCGACCAGTGAACATTGAAAAATAGTGTATTAGGCAATTGTGTTGTTTGAAATCCTCTTTTAATCATGCAGTAAAATATGATAAATAGATATTCCTTTATACTCGTAAGTAGCAAGCGTTAAAGCTAGACACCCCTACTATTTGCATGAGTGTGCGATCATTAGACGAGTGAGTAAGGATATTTACGTGGATTTATATGGAGTACTATTTACATTGGATTTTTTTCATCCATACATAGACGGTCTTGAAAGCGTAATGTAATACCTTCAGTTTATATCTGTCCATTTCTATATATGTTTTCATCTGTCGCAACCGAAAGGCAACCAACGGCGGAATTAAATACCCCTATTTGTTTCACCTGCCTACTTATGGAGGACTTATGTCGTCGAAAACAGGCCAACATTAAAAGTTCGTCTAAAAGATATACAAGTCCACTTCGGATTCAAACTCTCGCGACTCGTTTCCATAGTAACAGTTTTTGCCTTCTTTGCGGTGCCTCTAGTTTGCAATGAACACTCAAACTGTTCGTGAGAGCTTGTAATCCACTCAAATTTGTGGTGACTATACATTGGCTGTCCACTATTCCGATTAATCTGCGATATAGTTTCTGCAAATATGCTTTTGGACACGTACGCAATATCGAAGCCATCATTATATATAGATATGCCACCAAATCTTAGGTTGTTTATGCTCGATTCCTAAAGTTACTTAAAAACAAAATTTTTATCGGTTCTTTAGAATTTCGCTCCATGTTTCCTTCGACATAACCGCCGTTCCGGAGATTCTAAACCGATCACAAGCACACAGTAATGTTCTTGTTGTGATTCTGTGATTGTCCTATTTGTAGCATGAGTACGTCGTGGTGAGACTTGTTGTACTGGGTCCACGGTACTCCGTGTGTAGTAATCCGACGAGTTCAAATCTGGCCTGTTCGGCGGCCATATGCGTTAACCCCGAAACATTCGTACGCAGCCAGCGTACGCATTGGTGAATGAACTGGTGCACCACTTTATTGAATGACGTGTGGTCTCTCGCTTCAGCCATCCACGATCGCCCAGGAGGCCTGTTTAGTGATTCATTTGCATTTCCGGAAGCAGCATTGTCGTCTGACGCCTGTTTCAGTGCACGTCACATTCAGAGCTGCCGTTGGCCGATGATATGTTTCTACTTACAATAGGCGTATCCTCCAAAACGTGAACAAATAAATTCTTCGTTCTCCTACCTCAACTTCGTCTGCGGCCACACACTCGTATGTCTATCTGACTTAGCCGAAGATTTCTTGGGTCGATCGGGATCATTTCGGTTACGCTTCCTCTATCACGCAGAAATTAGATGAGATTAGCCTGCTATTTTTTTTAGCCATGACGAGCTTCTTGTTTTATTATGAAAAAAACTGTTTTTTGTTTGCAATTAGGAGGTAATTAACAATTTAGACGGCATGTCTTCTCTTCATTTCCACCTAAAAATAGGATCGATTTCAATTGACGGTATTTGCTTGAGTTCAGGTTTCTATACTTCGTTACAATAGTAAGGCTGCGGAAAGAGGAGAAATACGGTTCCTGCCAGCCTCTACAAACAAACGAAGCGTCATTCAACGGACATCAAAAGCGTGCATAAACTGAAGCATCCTACATAAATCTATATAGACTTCATTCTGCCTCAAGAAGGTATGCACGTGACTACGTATTGATTTGGGAATTTGATTTTCAGAAAAAAAACACCTCACTTTAAAGGCCTATTGCGTACGTGCGTCACATCATTGGCATCGTCGTCACGAACTCGATTAACGATCTTCATTGTGGAGCATGACCTATTGTAGTGGCAAACTGTATGGCTTGAAGTTATTCAGTGTATACTCAACGTAATCGGCATTAGGCACGATTAAAATAACGATAGCAATTGATCTTACCTTTGACGTCGATTTAACGTCGATTACAGATATCGGTCACAGATTGCCATTAGGATTTCAATCAAAACCGAGACAACTCAAACGAGGTTCAGACAAACTAATTAAAGCATTCTAGTAGTTCTAGGAACACTTTTTATCACTAAACCAAGAATAGCTTTGATGTTTACTCGTAAAAAAAAACTACTTATTACAGACCTTCATCAAGGTAAATGAACGCCTTAAAATTGATTACACTTCGTTGCTAGCAAAAATTCATTGATGCGAAGAGTACTATAATCGGCCTATTTTCCCACTGTGAAACGTGTTCAAATCTTGACTATGGTTCGACGGATCGGACCAGATCGAAACTCGTTTATGATGTGCTATTTAATATAAAAGAATAAGAACGGCAAGTGTGTTATCTTCAGTATAGTAGAAATGTTCTTCAGTATAGAAGAAACCTACTAAGGTCGAAAAGAGCCGGTATTTCGTATTCTGCTGCCGGCCACTCAGTGTTTTAGTTAATCATCCCGTATTGTTACGTTAAAACAAGAGTTCCCGTATTTTTTTTTTACAAAAAAGAAAGACATTTATTTTCTACTTATATTCATTTATTATTTACCTCTAATGCGTTCCATCAGCATGTTATAATGGTATTATATTCTGAGTGCAATTTCAACTCGAGATAACTTCCTAAAGACAGATGCCCTATGTGGATAAAAACGCATTTTCGACTCCTTCTGTGTTGCGGATCTCGTTGAGACCAAAAAGGTTGTCGAAACAGCCCGAGACATTTACCCTGTGTATGATAACGATGCTATCGCTAAAACAGTGATTTGTCAAGTTAGAAATGATATCTAGGACCTAAAACTCTCTGGCCGACCATCTGAGGTAGTGGCGACGCTCTGAAGCAAGAAGTTCGAGAATTGGCCAAAAAAATAAGCTACAGTTAAAAGGACTCCATTAATCACCGCAGATCTCTTGGATTTACGCAGAACTTTGAAGCTTGAATACCCTATGAACTCTCTGAACCCAAAAAGGAATTACGGCTTGTCACTGTATCTTAACATCTCGCCTGCTACCAAACGTCATGCGGGCACAGTGATCGATTTTTGCACAGAATTGCCACTGGCGATGAGAACTAGGACCTGTGCGTCAACGTAAACCAAAGACCGGAATAATTGGTTTCACAAGAAGAGCCAACGCGCAACGTTCGACCAAACCTTCATCCGAAAAGAGTTGGTGGAATTGCGAGGCCCTGATTAATTGCGTCTTATGGACCAGACAGTTAATGGGAACATTCGCTTTGCCGGGTGCATCTAATCAGCCAGGCTACCCAAAAGAAACGATCCAGCAGATAAAGTTAAGCCAGCATGCTCCCCGAGGGTGCGAGACCACACACGACAAACATTGACAAAACTGTCTTCCTGTCATTCGAATGAGAAGTCTTGCAGCACCCTCCAACATGCTGCGGATTCTGCCCCGACCTTTTTCGTTCATGGGGGGTTCACTCACGTCCGTGGCGTTACTCTCGATACGGATCAACAATTTAAAACGTGATTGGAAAACCCAACGAAACGGCATCCATTATTTGGTGGAATTATAGGAAAAAGTCCTGATGGTGGAATTATAGGAAAAAGTCCTGAATGACTATAGGATATACATAATATAATGATTGATTGTCCTAGGAACAGAAAATATTTTCTAATCGATGAAAAAGCAGGAGTTTCTATTTCCAGTTTAAAATATACCACGCGCCTAATGTCATGATTTAGAAGACGACGTAGTGATTCTTCATTAATCATTGATTGCTATCTTGATTAACGCACGGTTTTGAAATGATAAGACGACGTAGTGATTCTTCATTAATCATTGATTGCTATCTTGATTAACGCACGGTTTTGAAATGATATACATACATGTACATACGGACTTTCACCTTTCATACGGACTATGTCTTTTAAGCGCTTGCGCCGTTCTCAAAAGGGTACCTTTCTGCGATCTGGTAATAATAGAAATGGGCTACTCCTAAGCCTTCCATAACTTTGTTCCATCATGAAATGACTATTAAAGGAGGTAAATTGACCTAACAGCGTACAGACGCTGAACATAGTATTGATGCGAGAATAATGATGGTAGAAGCTTGTAATTATTATCGATCGGTACATAGCCTATGGTAACACGCGGTTGGGTACGTTGTGTTGCCTTCATCTAATAAATGGCAGCTATTGCGAGCCGTGTCCAGAGATAGTTGCGAAGCATAATGGTAATCGTAGTTGCTCGTTACGAAGCTACGGGATTCTGTGGAGAAATGGGGTATGGGACGAGCTGACAGAAAGAAGACTTCCATGGAATCTGCTACTACCGTTATAGTTCTGTGCTGTTGTAGGCTCTATCTACACACCGATAGTTGTATTGCGCCAACCAATTGCGTCTTCTCTGCTCATAGGCCGATAAAAGTAACATCCCCGACACGGTTCCCTTCCACAACATACACAGGGGATCCGACGATGCGTTCGACTTTACTGTGAATTTTCACGAGCATTAGCTTCATGTAAACCCCGGCATTTGTGGTCTTCTAGTAAAAAGAACAACTAAGAATCCTGTCAACAAAAGACGCGAAATTCGTGTCTGCTATTCTGTGTGACGCAGACAGATTCGTGTTTATGCCGCTCTCGTACAGCGAGCCTAGTTTGCAATGAGGAATTTTCGAAGACCGGAGACTTAAAGCTACAAACAGAATAAGCTTAGTAGCACGCCGACGATGGTCCAGAGTCACGGCAGCAAATTGACGTGGTACAGAAGAACCATAGAACGAAAGGGGTTATATAAGTGTAGATGGGTATTGGGTACGGTTTCACGTGTCGCTGAATAAGAACTAGTACTAAATAGCGATAGACCGTCGACTATGTAGATAATACACGGGAAAGACCTCGCGAGGTGTATTAATAATCATGCAGAGGGGCCGACAACAAAATCATGCGTATACGGTGATGACCGAAAAGAATCGCTGCTAAGACTGGTACGTGCAGAAAAGTTACGCGCTCTATGACGATACCTCGACCTTGGTGCATTACGTATTAAGTGTTGGATGGAGTCAGTTAAAGTTGAAAATGTGCGACTTAAGTTTAAGAGGATCAACGAACACTGTTGTGCCAGCTGAAATTGCCAGCAAAAAAAAGTCTGATAGGCAGAAAACATACTATGAGCCCAGAAGTCTGATATTTGAAAGTTTTTCCGCTTTAATCGTGTCCCTAACTTAGCATGTAGGCCATAACCATCAAACGAAATAAGGCTGTTGATGCACCATGATTCCTATTACTATTTAATCGTTCAAATATTCCACGCTATATTTACAAATTTGATGTCGCGAGTTCATGGTAAGGTGGAATATCTATGTAAAGTTCGAAGGGATAACATAGATATTGTATTATCCTGAACTGGATAAGTGTTCAGGGATGAAAAAATCTTAGATCGAGAATAAAATTCTGATTATTTATTATATTAGAACGTATTGAATGATGCAAAGCGTTTTCTAACTAATTCAACATGTTGCATTTAGCGTTCACTAAGCGATAATAAAATACAATTGCACGATGTGCTGAATATACATCACATGAATTATTTATTTTAATGTGTTCACGATACAAGTGTGTGTATACCTAAGTATTATAATATGGATAATGAGTGCCGCTATATTAAACACCGATGCATTTACATATATCGCCTTCAGATTTGACTTCGATGAGAAATAGGTGAGCGAGTGAGCTTCGGCCAGTAATGTCAAAAGGTGTTCGACATATCGTTATATCCGTAACTTTTCAGATATGAACTTTCGGCAGCACTAGATCATATGTGAATTGCGTTGTTCAGAGTACCTTGTGGTGAAATATTTTCAGGTTGTTAGAAGTTGTTGGAGAACTTGAGGTGCTACGTCGTACGAGACTAAGGTGGAAAGAACAGGAGGAAAACAGTTGAATTTGGTGGAAGAGTAGCACCTCTAGAGAGGAACGGAACCCTACAGAAAGATGGATGCAATATATGAGCACACTAGCCGTTTCTACAAATCGTTTGTTTTTCATTAATGTTAAACCACCTACAAAGCCAAGGCCCTAGATGAGAAAATCCAGGGTTTAGTAGGTGAGAGTTCCATACCACTTGGTAAATACGTTAGTCGTGTGGTCTGGTCCGTACGGTACATTCGCTCCTGTGAAATATAGATTCGCAGCGGTTAGTCTCTTGTTGTCTGCTGGCTTTAAGCAGAAGCTTTAATCTGCAGAGGAGAAATGTAATATATGTGTATATAAGAGTTAATAAAATATCTCGCAGTTATTCGACATAACAACGAGCTAATCACTCTGTGATTACCAGTTGTTATGTCGAGTTACGTTACAGTCTTACTGTGGAGGCTCAAATAATGGCGACGAGAACGATACCCAATATACGCCATAAGAGTGACACTTGTTAAGGACCGCACGACTTCAATATAACACCTACGCGTCCAGCGTTATTTTTAATCGAAGCGAAATGATGGATATTGCAGCGCCGTGGAGAGATAAAATATGTATTATTTCAATTGAAAATGTCAGCGAAAAAAGGTCACGCTAGTGCGCTCGAACTTAATCTCTGAAATCATTGGTTCAGAGAAGATACGGGACGAGCTTTCGACTAATCCAAGAAAGAAAATGCGTCACTAATATAAATGCGTGATGGGTTATTTTGATTTGTAGCAACGGTAGACATCGGTAGCAGTGACAGAGGTGTAAAAAATTTACATGATCTTTAGCTAACAATAGTTCATTTGGTGAACTGAAGGTGTACAATACTCCGCTATGTAAAATGCCTTTACATGAGCCACACGTAGATTATATTAGCGATTGACGGTTAACGTTTTTCAAGGTCTATAATACTACCAACGTCCGTAATAACAAAATGCGAATATGGGTAAATCAGCTTCGCAGAACAAATTCACCCAGGTGACAAGTTCAGACAGGGGAGAGTGCGAAGTACAAATACTTCCTAGGGTAAGCATCGTCCTTATTTCCACTTGTTCTTGGCCTTATTAGTCTGAATCTGTTGGTAGTCGGTAGTGAAGGTTCCTCGACCTGCACAGCTCTTAGATGAAGCGCAACGTTGACTTTATTAAGCTTCCAGGTCCAGGGGTACTCCAGAAGGTATTAGGGATCAACACGTACAAGGTATTATGTGCTACTAGCGTTGTCATAAGCATAAAAATTGTATCCTGTCCTATTTTTGTTTACGGGACATCTGCATGATCTTATTTCGACAAAAGCACTATGGATCTAGCCAAGTTTAACGT